GAGTTCTAGGCTTTGGTGGAGTTAGGGTTTGAGGTTGCCGTTGAAGATCTCGCTTTCCTCGTGTGGTTAGGAGTTCTATTTGGAATCCAATCTAGGGTTCAGTTGGGTAATTTCTTATTCTTTCAAAGTTTGGATCTTTCTCTACAATTTGGAAGTTGTGATTATGGGTGAAGTAATTGGTGAAAGCAGCAAGATGACAGGCACAGTTCAAGTGGGTTTTCAGAACACTAAGATTAGTGTTGTGAAATATGACGGCAAGATCAATTTTGGTTTGTGGATGAGCGACGTACAGGATGCGCTCAATGCTCAAAATCTGGAGGAGACCATCATGGTCGATGTGAGGCCACCTAAATATGAAGAGGCGATATGGGAAAAGATGAATCGAAATGCTTGCGGGGTGATCAGGTCCTGTTTGGAACAGGAGCTGAAATACGATGTGATTGGGGTGACGTCTGCGATGAAGATGTGGGAAATTCTCAACAATAAGTACCTTACGAAGAGTGTTGAGAACCGGTTGCACTTGCTGCGAAGGTTATTCAGATTCCAGATGTCCAGAGGTACCTCGCTTGCGGCTCATGTGAACAACTACACTAAGTTGTTGTCGGACTTGGCGAACGTGGATGAGAAGATCACAGATGAGTACAAGGCTATTATTCTTTTGGGCTCCTTACCGGATGAGGAGTATGATACCTTCGTGCTTACGTTGCTGAACGGGAGATCTTCTATCACTTATAGTGAAGTGACTAACGCATTGACGAACTATGATTTGAGGAGGAAGGATAAGGAGACTTCCCGCGCTAGTACTTCAGGAGAGGCCTTGTCGGCGAGAGGTAGAAGCTCATATCAGAAAGGTGGAAACAGAGGGAGGTCAAAGTCAAGAGGTCGTCACCAGCTTGGAAAGAATCAATGTGCATTCTGCAAGGAGCAGGGACATTGGAAAAGAGATTGCCCGAAAGTCAAAGAAAAGGAGAATAGCAAGAATAAGGGCCCGAAGGCCAATGAGGTGAATGTTGCGAAAGGCGATGATTCCGATGATTCGAGCTTTTCTCTTTTGATTACTCCGGAGGTGAACCATTTGGATGCATCGGAGTGGATGCTTGATTCTGGCGCTACTTATCATGTGACTCCTAGGCGAGATTGGTTCTCATCATTTGAGAGACTCGATGGGGGTGTTGTGGTCATGGGAAATGATCAATCCTGTGGCGTTCGTGGGATAGGTACTGTGAGGATTCGGATGCACGATGGAGTAGTCCGTGAGCTGAAGGAGGTGAGATTCGTTCCTCAACTTAAGAAGAATCTTATCTCAGTGGGGGCTTTGGAGGCGAAGGGATTCAGGGTGACCTTTGAGGATGCTGTAGCAAAGGTTACTAAGGGATCTTTGGTGGTGATGAAGGGAGTCCGAAATCATAATTTATATTATCTGAAGGGGAGCACCGAGATTGGCCAGGTTGCTTCGGCGATTTCAGAGGCGGACATGAGCAGACTTTGGCACTACAGGCTAGGGCATACAGGTGAAAAGTCACTGCAGGCATTGTGCAAGCAGGGGCTTTTGAAGGGAGCCAAGAGTGGTAAAGTAGAATTCTGTGAGCACTGTGTACTTGGCAAGAAGACGAAGGTGAAGTTCGGGACGGCCATTCATAGGACGAGGGGCATCTTGGACTACGTGCACACAGATGTTTGGGGTCCCACTAAGACGGCATCACTTGGTGGTCGACATTGGTTCGTCACGTTCGTTGATGACTATTCTAGGCGATGTTGGGTGTACACCATGAAGCATAAGAGTGAAGTCCTAGATTTGTTTGTGGAGTGGAAGAAGAGATTGGAACTGCAGACTGGGAGAAAGATCAAGACGTTGCGATCCGACAACGGCGGCGAGTATACCTCAGACCCCTTTCTGCAGCTATGTCGAGACGAGGGCATAGAGAGGCACTTCACAGTTAGTCATACACCGCAGCAGAATGGGGTGGCAGAGAGATTGAATCGGTCTTTGCTGGAGAAGATTCGATGTTTATTGGCGCATAGTGGTTTGGAGAAGATCTTTTGGGCTGAGGCACTTTCTTATGCGAGCCACCTCATTAACAGGCTGCCTTCATCTGCGATTGAGGGGAAGACCCCTATGGAGATGTGGTCGGGAGAGACAGCACATGACTATGACCAGCTTAAGGTATTTGGTTGCCCTGCATATTATCATGTTAGAACTGATAAGTTGGAACCTCGAGCTAGGAAGGCCATATTTGTAGGATTCAAGCGTGGTGTCAAGGGATACAAGCTTTGGGATCCAGTTGATAAGAAGATTGTGCTGAGTAGGGACGTCACATTCGATGAGGCTTCTATCTTGAAGCTTCCCAGCTCTCATCAGGTGGAGAGCAACCCGACAGAGGAGATTTCGCAGGTGGTGGAGATTGATGCAGCTCCACAGAGTCCAGATAGTGCAGTATCCATGAGAGTGCCGACTGAGGTGACGCCAGGCGAGCACGACGGTGATGCGGAGGATACGGGTACTCATGAGCAGGATCAGGGACCGACGGCTCAGGTTCAGGATTCTATTGCGGCACGGAGACAGAGGAGAGACATACGGGTGCCAGCACGGTATGCCGACACAGTTGCATATGCACTTCCGGTGGAGAGTATCGATGAGATGGTGCCTACTACATTCAGAGAGGCCGAGCAGAGTTCGGAGGCTGATTCGTGGCAGGTGGCTATGCAGGAGGAGATGGAGTCTCTTCACAAGAACGATACATGGGAGCTTGTAGAGCTTCCAAAGGGGCGGAAGGCGATTGGGTGCAAGTGGGTGTACACGAAGAAGGAGGGCATTGAGGGCACTCCAGTGAGGTTCAAGGCTAGGTTGGTTGCGAAGGGCTATGCACAGGAGGAAGGTATTGATTACAATGAGGTTTTCTCTCCGGTGGTGAAGCATTCGTCGATTCGGATTTTGCTAGCTTTGGTGGCACAGTATGGATTGGAGTTAGATCAGTTGGATGTGAAGACAGCATTTCTTCATGGTGATCTTGATGAAGAAATATATATGACTCAGCCATTGGGATTCCGAGCTGCAGGGAAAGATAAGTTGGTTTGCAGGCTAAAGAAATCGCTATACGGTTTGAAGCAGTCTCCTCGACAGTGGTATAGGCGATTTGATGGTTTTATGCTTGGTCATTCGTACACTCGGAGCCAGTTTGATCCTTGCGTGTATTTTCGCAAGTTGAGAGGAGGTGCGTACATTTATTTGTTGCTTTATGTCGATGACATGTTGGTTGCTTCTAGTTCCAGGTCAGCTATAGATGAGTTGAAAGTTCAGCTTTCGAATGAGTTTGAGATGAAGGACTTGGGCGAGGCGAAGCGCATTTTAGGGATGGAGATCGGCAGAGATAAGAAGAAGGGCAGGATTTGTTTGACACAGCAGGTGGGTAGTTATGCATTGGTTATGTTGATTCGTATTATGCCGGGGATTTGGATAAGCGCCGGTCTACTACGGGGTATGTGTTCACTTTGACCCGTGCGCCGGTGTGTTGGAGATGCACCTTACAGTCTACGGTGGCTTTGTCTACGACGGAGGCAGAGTATATGGCAGTTACGGAGGCTGTGAAGGAGGCTATTTGGCTTCGAGGACTTTTGGAAGAACTTGGTATATCGCAGCGATCCGTCACTATTCATTGCGATAGCATGAGTGCTATATATTTGGCGAAGAATCAGGTTTTTCATGCGAGGACGAAGCACATTGACGTTCGTTATCACTTCGTTCGGGATGTTCTTGAAGATGGCGATGTGGAAATTGTGAAAGTCCACACGAAGGATAATCCGGCAGATATGCTCACTAAGGTGGTTCCGAGCAACAAGTTTGATCATTGTCGAAACTTGTTGCACATTCGTAATTGTTGAGGCCGTTGGCGGCCATTTGGATGAACTACGGGCGGCTTGATCCCTTGGGAGAGGGGGTACGTAGGCAACCGCATTGGTGCAGCCGAGTTTAGAGAGACGACACATTGGTGCTCATGTTGGTGTCGGCTCAGTGTTGGGAACACTTCGCCGAGGTGGAGAATTGTGAAAACGGCGAAGGAATTGTGAAAAACGTGAAGAATAACTCAAAACAGGCTCCACCACACCCTGGTGTGGTGTCTGCCATGGGTGTGGTAGAGTCTGTCCTGCACCACACCCTCTGCCACACCCACGGTGCAGGGTGTGGCAGAATCTGTCCTGCACCACTCCTGCACCACACCCTCTGCCACACCCATGGTGCAGGGTGTGGCAGACTCGTTTTTAGAATCCTTATTTGTTGAGGAATCCTCCTTTGTTTGGGATTGTGTTTTATTATAAATAGGACCACGTTTTTTAGGGTTTCTTAAGGAGAGAAAAGAAGAGATTTAGCATTGTTTTGAGCACTTTGAGAGGGAGATATTGTGAGGGAGTTGAGAGCTTTGGTTAGGGTTATATTTGAGTGATTTTGTGAGTTGTAAGAGAATTTGTGTGATTGTAACCCTTTGTACTCTCCTTGATTTAGTGAAATCTCCCCATCCTCTCCCCGTGGACGTAGGCAATTGCCGAACCATGTATATCCTTGTGTTTGGTTTGATTTGTCGTAATTGGCTTGGTTTGTGCAAGTGTTTGGCTTTCTTCTACTCGTGATCACAGGTTCGTTGTGAGTTCGTGCAAGGCTTCCGCAAAGGCGCGCGACATTCAACCGCTCGACATTGATACACATCACGAGAAGAACTTTTCCAGCCGATGTTCCAATTCTTATACATTGCCCATATCTCAACCCTTCTTTCCATTCTACGCGTGTCAAGTTGAAGAAATGAATGCAGCAAAAGAATGAAGCTGCATTCATTTACTATCTTGTCTTAAATCAAAGAATCTCTCTAAAGCCATTGTCTACGGGCTTCATACCGCTCAGGAGGGTGACACACCGCCCAATTGTTCTTCCGCTTGGTATCTTCAGGAAGATAGCAAACCATAATCATATATGCAATTCGTCTTTCTCTTTTTGTGTGGAAGTTAAAAGATAGCTGAAAGCCAGGCTTCGGCGTTTGATAATATTTGATCAAAAAAGACAGTGGGACCTTGCGGCTCCCTTGGGAAAATTCCATAGAAGGGATCCCTTTGAGATCCTTTCACAGTGAGCAAGGTGTGAGAATTTGGACACTTCTAAGTTGGGCGCACTCTTGCTAGCTCTAAATATCCCTCTAAATATCCCACATACAATGGGTAAGCCCTCCTCCACCCATTCTCTCTCTTTCTTGTGCACTGGATGCGGTTCTAAGAACGTAACGGACACTGTGATGGGTGACAAAAAAACATAGTTTATCTTGATATATGATAGAGGCATGGCATCAAAATCATCATAAACAGCCCAAACTTGATCTTGCACAAAGTCTTGGGGGGTCAATTTTACTTTTTGAGTCTCGGGTCTTGAGTTTGATCCCCCGGTATCTATTGTGCTTATGGGGGGATTCATAAGATGGGTAATGCTAGCGTCATCACCGCAATCTTTTTCTTCATTTGACTGGGACGTTAAGTCCACGAATCCAACAACAGCACGTGAGAAATCTTGAACCAAATTATCTGGTATGGCCAAGGGGTCTACCTCTAACATTCCGTTTGATATCCCGCTTAGTTCTTCGCTGATGAATCTAAATGCCAAGATCCTGTGGGAGAACATCAAAAGCTTATTGCAGAGTATTTGGAAAGATAGCTCAGTCCCTCTCCTGTAGTGCCGCTGGAATACATTTTTGAATCCTTGAACTCTCACTAAGTAGGCAACCTTGGCACCAGAACCTTTTAGAAAATCAGCAAGAATTTCTACAATCCCAAATGCGCACTTCTTCCTCATCCCAGGGTCAGAGCACCACTCCTCATCCCAATCTTTATAAATAGCCCAAACTTCAACCTTCTTCGGGTAATCTCAAGCGGCTCTTTAGTTATACCATCAAAAAGCATGTAAGAGAACATAGAAGCCCCGGTAAGTGTCATTCTGTTCATCTCAAGACCAAAGGTTCCGCAAGGAATTTGAAAGCCAGCATCCTGCCATTTTTTCTCATAGGACTGACAGGGACAGGCTTTGTACCATGCGACATAGATTTGAAGTTTCTGACCTATGATCTTGTCAATTTTACAATAACGACGACGCATGCTCTCTAGATCATAAGCTGCCCAAATCTGACCTTCAGAGAAGTGTTCCGGCTTCCTACTGTTGTCAAAGTCATAGAAGTCCTCCGGTTGCTTTCTGGCTGCGGGACTTTTTTTCCAAAACTCCCAATGCCTTTTGGAGATTGACATTATCTAAGAAGTTCACCTGATTCGTAGCACAACTTGCTTCCAGATCACAAAATATCCTCTTCTGATTCTCATTAATGTCTCCGTTTCCACTGTAAACCTCGCCAGCTGCTCTTTTAAGCCTATAAGAGCTCACCGAATTGTAATATTGAGACAGACCTTCAAACGTACTTCTCTTGGAATCAAATTCTGCCCTATTTATAGGATCTGAGAGAACAGAGAAAGCGTTAGCTGCTGCAAAATTGAGGGCTAACTCAGTGCCTGGGCAATCATTCTTGATGAGCTTCAACTGAGTCACTATCTTTTGATACCGAGCTTCAACAGCAGCCGGACTTGCAGAAGCAAGGAGCTGGAAGTACCCAATACCAATCAATTCCAAAGCCCGGCAGCTCCATTATTGTTGAACAAAGGATTTCGCATACAGTTAGCATCCCTGATGCGTGATCTAGTGTTGGAAAAGCCTTCAGAGCTTCAAGAATTAAGGCTCTTGCACCGATGTAATCTCCAGCTCGCATTTTGTGCTTGATAGCTTCTCTTGCTCGCCAGATCTTCACATTCTCTTCATCCATGATACCCTCCCTGCAACAAAGTTCCAAAAAAGCTTAGGTATTATATATCTGAAAATTTGTATAACTATCAGTACAACAATGGTAGTTCCATATCGAAGGTGCAAGAGTATAAAACAAAACTACAAGGGTAATGTTTGTGTTAAAACTCAAAAGTAAGTTACACAAGAAAAATCAGTTTCGGCCTAGTATAGATCAATACGCATAAACATCAAAACGGGAAAACTGCATATAAATGAGAATGTAGGTTAAGAACTAACTATAGACAAGTAAATATGCTATCTTTTGGGTTTCTACATGAGACCTTTATAGAGAATCTAATAGCTACATTAATTATACCTGAGAAATCAAAATTGAACAAGACAAGAATGCAAGAAAATTGCACAGGAAATGGAGAAAATATTAATGCATGATCCCCAGCAAATATAATTGCACAAGTTGTAGCTTTGGGCTAGAAAATTCAAAACAACTGGGTTTCAAATGAAGAGAAATATATATTGAGCTAAAATCAAAGTTGGGTACAGAAAAGGGGATTATTTCCTTTTCATCCACAAAAGCCAAGATAAGTTTCAGAAAAAGATGAGCTTTAACATAGAATCCAAATGGGCAAGCCTGGGATAAGAGAATTATGGAACTGAAAAAAAAAGTGTAGCAAAGCAGTTCTTAAGAAAGGAATGACCTTTAAATTGACAAAGCTTGGAGGCAACCGATCACTTAACATATCAAAAGATCTTGAAAAATTGAGACATGCTGTAATTTAACGAAATACCAGATAACCTTTCAGTCGCATCATTGAACATCACTGTTAAACAACAAATATCTTTGCATTGCAATTTTATGCAAGAAAAAATTGTTTTGACAACTCAATTTCTCACATGCATCAAAGATCTTGAAACCCAAGAAAAGAACACAAAATTACAACAATAAATTGTGTTTTTCCCTTGGGGTTTCAAGATCTTGATGCATGTGAGGAATCAAAGTGTCAAAACTATAGTTACGAATCAAATAATAAATTTACTTGAAAATCTTAGAAAGCTAGGGATCTGAATTACCTCTCTCTGAGTTTCCTGTGTCAAGTTTACCCCTTTTCTTCTCTCTGGTCAGTACTTCACTCCACTGTGCACTGTAAAGAACAGGGACGTGGCTTTTATGAGCTTTTTTTCCTTTAAAAAAATAGAAAAGGGAAAAGACACAGTATTTGAGTTCATTTTTCAAACAACAAAACAAAACCCCATATGCTATTCAAGGCTCAATGATCCATGCAAGCTGAGCCCCTTGGATTTTACGGCACACAAGCACTTCATAATTCGGCAAATTTTGAAAACCATCATATTCCCAAACTTATTCATCAAAAACGACCTATTTAAAACTTATTTGTCCAGCCAATTGGTTGAAACTGGGCCAAACTTCACGGGGCTTTAAGTCTCATGAAGTTTTTTACATAACAAAACTTCACGGGACTCGTGAAGCTTGGTATTTTTTTTCGTCAAAAACGATCCAGTTTCAGCCAGTTGGCTGACTGGTTGGCTAAAACTGTGTTGCTTTTTAGCAAATAAGTTTTAAAAAGATTGTTTTTATAATTATTTTTTAAAATGGATTGCTTTTGAAAATTTGTTCTTCTACATAATATTTACCTTATTTTCTTGGTTTCTTGCTTTCTGGAGATAGACGGGGAGCTAGCCGGCACTCGGCAGGGTTTAAAGACCAGGAATGAATCAGTGCCAAAAATAGCGAGTGCCAAAAATATACAAAGTTGAGTTCTTGGTAGTGTACATGCAAGATAGATAAATGATACATAAAGCTCATGATACATTGTACATTGCAACAATCACTTTATTAGGTGATTAGTTACTTGTGCATGAGCTCCCATCACATGATTTCCCTTTTGATTCACTTGTTTAATGAAGAGAGAGTAAAGGCTAAATAGCACTTAAATATCTTATAGTTTAACTACAACACTTATATACTCTCCCGAGTTATTCAAAATTGACATGTTAATGCTCTGTGTTATTCAAACATAAAAAATTTCACCTAAATGTTCTCATATAACATTCATATATTAATTTTAAAGATTTTTAAAATATTTATTAAATTACTGTTAGACTTGCCCACATCTAATCTAGATGTATCCTAATTCTATTTTAAAAACATAATTGGGAAAGATCTAACAATGAATTCAACAAATTTAATATATAGAAAGTTATAAATGTTGTGCGCACAGCGCGTGTTCTGAGAATTCACAAATTTTCCAAGAGAGAAGGCACACAAATCAACTAATAATAGCACAAACTCAAACACCAAAATTTAACAAGGTTCGGCAAATTGTCTACGTCCACGGGATAAGAAGGAGATGAGTTTTCACTATAGAGAAAGAGAAAACAAAGTAGAGATTACAAGATCACTCAAAAGCTTACAAATAATCTCTCAAACTAAACTCTCAAATCTCTCACAAAGCCCTCAAATAAAGTGCTCAGAAAGAACTCTCCTTTTTGTGCTCAAAACTCTCTTTCAAGCTACCCCAAAACTCAATCAATATGACTGATTAACCCTAGACAAATAGTGTTTCTATTTATATTAAATAGAAAACCCAAACAGTGCAGGAAACCGAAGTAGGCCCAGACCCAACTCACGGTAGACCGCATAGACACGTGCGGTCGACCGAAAACCAACGACAGAAACCAATAATCACTACAGGGTTTGTCCAGTCAACCGGACTTGACACTACGGTCGATCGTAAAAAGTCCAGAGACTTTCCTCTGTGTTGTGCACGTTCGCGGTCGGTTGCCGCGCCACTCGCGGTCGACCATAGGACACACAAAATATGTCCTTCACTTTTTTGCCTGAAGTTCTTCACCGTTGTTCCCAATTCTACAATTCTCCATCTCGGTGAAGTTTTCCCAAAACTGAGCCGTCACCAACCAAACCAAATGTCTCACTTGTTGCGTCCAGTACGAAGTAAAATAAAATCACAACAATGAACTCAATCCATAACAAGTCGAGACTCAAATGAGAATGCGATCACTCTCCAAATGTTGGTATCTACTCATCAAATCGGCTGTATCAAAACTGACTGCCTACGTATCCTTTTTTCCAAGGAATCAAGCCTTCATATAGTTCCCCAAATGGCCTCCAAAGGCCCTCAATCAAATAGAAGAGCTCAAAACTCTTCACTAACAAATTTGCGACTGATAGCTCTCCTAATGGCCCCAAAGTGAAACAAATCAAATACCTCCACCTGAGGTGAACCAATGGCCGTATCCAAATCCAAACCATATCCACCAGCTGCATTCGAATCAACCAACTCATCATCTATATCCAAATCAACATGATCCCCAAACTATGTCACCTCAGCTGGAATCCCAAACGATGCAGTATGATCTGTGTTAGACCCTAATGCCACTAAGAAAGAACCCTAGAGGGGGGTGAATAGGGTTTATGCTAATCTAATTCGATTTATGCCAATTTAAAACTATACTAACAAATATATCCTAGCACAAGAGATATGGACAATATATGTGCAACGATAATAAACTAAGGACAATATGAACACAAACAAGTTAGTGAGAATATAAACAATAAGCAATAGACAAAGGCGATCTAAGATATGAACATAAAAATAAGTGCACCAATGCAATCACAAACAAACGATATGATCACAGAGTTCAGTCCCCACAACCTACGTCTTCGCTCCTCACCTCGAGGAGATCTCCACTATCACAACTGGGTTTTCTACGCTCACCCGAATAACGTTTACACCTCACACTCGGTTTTTAAGTTCACTGAAAACTTTACAATCAACACTCTTGCAATCACATTTTACACCCTCTCAAGTGTTGGTCTCTAGCCCGTGTCTCCCTCAAGTGTTCGGAATTACCACCTCTCACTAGGCTTTACTACCGACCCCACTCCTCTTGGAACCGACCACGTCTCTCACTAACCACTTTTCTTGGTGTCCAAGTGTAATACAATGTGCAACTCACAATTAGGCTCATAAATATAAATTTGTTCTCTACAATAGATAAGAACACAATTAAGCTCACTCTCAATGTCACAAACCCATAATCCCAAATTATACTATGAATGCAAATACAATAAGCTCAATAGGTTGTGTATGAACAAAGAGTATCAATCACTAGTAAAAAATTATGTATCCTAGACGGAATATTCTAGACAAAAATTTTTCCGTCTAGTTTGATATTAAACTAGATGGAAAATTTCCGTCTAAAATATTCCGTCTAGGATAAAGTATCCTAGACGGTTCTTTTATTTTAAATTTTTTTTAAAAATATCCAGGCATCCTAGACGAAAATTTCCGTAATTTCCGTCTAGAATACATTCTAGATGGAAATTTCCGTCTAGGATACTTTGGCTCATTTAAAAAAATTAACCCGTTAAAGTTTTTGTGTTTGGGTTTGTTTGGGCTTGAGTAGGAAAATCACTCTTATTAGCCATGTACTTTAAGCTCATGCAACTGATGCCATCCTCCACATCTTCTAGACTACGAAGAAATGGGTTAAATGTGTGAATTTTAATTTTGTACACCAGAATCTTAGTCACTGCTATTGCATCATTTTCCTATAATTTTTGTGAAGTAGTACTCACCTATAAAGTTTTCTTATGTGCATAATTAGAATGCAAGGAAGGAGGTCAATTCAGTTCTAAAGAAGGAAGCAGAGTATTTTGGAGATATTTGTTCTTAAGACAATGGCCATTTGCGAATATGGGGTGTGTTCTATTTACTTCTGTGCTTCTTAGTTGAACCCTTTATGTCTCATTGTGCGCTAAATAATAGTTCCCTCTTTGTCAATCATCACTAATGCTGCGGGTTTAAAATCTGACTGCTGCATACATAATGAAATGTGACGACGATACATTTATTAGGGTGGATGCCGTGTTGAAGGAGATTAGGGGTGTTTCTCATAAGAATTGACTTTACATGGGTAACCTTAACCTCCTGCATCGACCTCTAAGAAGTGGAAAATGGACAGTAACATATGACAGAATGCTCAATTTGTAACTCAATACACAAAGTAGGCTTAAAAAAAACTGTAGCAAGTATCCTAGACGGAAATTTCGTCTAGGATGTTATATCCTAGATGGAAATTCCGTCTAGGATAGACGGAAGTATCCTAGACGGAAATTCCGTCTAGGATATAGCATCCTAGACGGAAATAAATTCCGTCTAGGAAGCTTCCTAGACGGCTTTTACTTCCGTCGAGGATTATCTGTCTAGGATGCATCCTAGACGGAAATTTCGTCTAGGATACCACATCCTAGACGGAAACAAACTCGACTCACATCCTAGACAGAAATTCCGTCTAGGATATGTTTTTTAGACGGAAATGAGAGTATCGTAGATGGAATTTTCCGTCTAGGATGTCTCATTTTGTACTAGTGAATGAAATAATTAAACTCAATATTGAAATCTAGCTTATGGAAATTAGAATCAAAACAATAAATAGCTAGAATTGAGTTTAAGGAAACTTCTCTATAGATCAAGAGAGAGAGGAGGAGAAGAGTTGAATGCTCAAACACCAATGAATGATCTTCTTCAAGCTCTTATGAAATTGTCTCCACAAAACAAACTCTCAAATGTTTAAAAGCTTTTTAAACAAACTTAAACTAAAACTCAACCCCTTGTTAAAACACTCTTAAACTTGTTTAAAATATTTCTCTTGAGTGAATAAAACTGATGATATGTGGGGGTATTTATAGGAACCCCAAGGCTAAGAGAAAACAAGGCAAAAAGACCAAAAATTGGAACAAGCTAGAAAAAACTAGTCGTTACAGCATCAGTCGATTGACGGCTTTCATCAATCGACTGATGAGCTGACCGTTAGAGGCATTTTCTAGCTCATCAGTCGACTGACGATCTTATCAGTCGACTGATGACCTCATCAATAGGCTGGTCGGTCTACCAAAACAAAACATAAACTTTTTGTTATTCCAGACATTTTCTTCAGTCGATTGATGTCATCAGTCGACTTACCAGTCGACTGATAACAGGTTATCAGCCTGTTTTGAAACAAAAATATGATTTTCAACTCCTTTTAAAAATAGCAAATAAAATCAGAAAAATGTAAAACTTTGGGAAATGATTATAGACATGATAATAAACATGCTACAAAAACTGGTTTTCAAAAAGCATCTCCCAAATGAGAAATCTCTTCATTTTATAAAATAGTCCAAAACATGAAAATGAAAACATACTTGTTTTGACATTTTGACTACACCATGTTTTGAAACTTCATAAACTGATTTTATAGACTTAATAGAAGATGTATATTATGATTGTTAAGTCTATAA